CCGGAATTGCTTCGGTTCGATCCCGGCACCGACATTTTCTGAATTTTTCCATGCAGTAATGAAGCTCTTCCATAGCCACCGGCATCAGCCTCTTCTACTGAGCGACAATCTACTATCACATTAGTACTAGCTATGGCTCTAAATAGCAGAATTATTTCCCATATAGGAATTGTCTGGGAGCTTTGTTTGTAATTAGCAGTGGTTTATGAGACTGAGAATATACACTTATTGAGTTCTAAGGTCAACTCTATCACTTAGTTCACTATTAACCTTGCATAATTTATTTTCGGTGGCGTCGATTTAATCCGGGAGAATTATTCCCAACTTCGTTCAAATTCACCCAAATATAATCGTTCCGCATGAAGTTGTCATACTTCTATTTTTTCAACAGTGTTATATATCTATTTAGTGTTACAATGGTGGCGTCAACTGCAGCCATGGTTCCCAGCGCTCTCAGGAGTAAATACGAAGCCTTGGGACAGTCCCACGTGTTCAAGTTCATCGATAACGGTATGTGTACGGACGCAGAAGCTAAAGCCCTTATAGAACAACTCGAGAGCATCGACTACCCGAAAATCAAAGCTAGTGTGGAGAAAGTAATTTCTGGGTTTATTTCTAGTATAGTTTAACTTTATTAAATTCAGTACTAAAAGACGCGCATTTTTTGTTCATTTTTACTACCAAATTTTCATTGCCTCGATTACTATATATTCAACATATACTTACTATTAAAAACGGGCATTTTCTGCTTATTTTCAATTTCAATGCTCTGAAATTATTATATATTTATTACTAGTTTATTACATTTTTATGAATGTTTTTATTTCTAATTGTTTATTGTCTCTCAATTCTGTTTATTTTCACTTTCAATTGTTTATTGTCTCCTAAATTTTTACATATTCATTACCATTTTTTTACATTTTTATACATTTTTCTGTGTATTTTGACTTCCAATTTCTCATTGCCTCAATAATTATATACTTAATATTACATTTTCCTGTTGATTTTTTTCCGATGATTTTTCCTCAGGCCAAAGAAGACTTAGAAGCTCAAACTGCCGAGGTTGAATATGAACCTCCGAATGATAACGATGTTATGAAACTCACTTCTATGACTCCTGAAGATATCAAGCGCTGGGAGGTACAATGTCGGGTTTGGTTTTTTTTCAGGATTGAAACTAAATTATATATAATTGATATTGTGCTATCATGAAAATAATTATCGGAATATTGATGGAGTTTCACCCGTTTTACGCGAAGTGATGTAAAACTCGATATTCGCGGTGGTATTCAGTAGTCGTGAAATATGTTTGGCGTTTTTTAATACCACTAGGGTGAAACTCCAATATTCATATATGATCTTTGTATAGGTAAATACGTGTTGGAGGAGTATATGTTCGCTTTCTTCTACTGAGTTCAACAATATAAGAATTAGACTAGAAGTGAATTTTCACCCACAAATGTGCGTGTTTACCCACGCTGACTTCGAGGATTTTCTGAAGATCTTTCAGGGTTTTTTTGTGTATTTTTAGGATTTTTTGACGATTTTTCGGGGATTTTTCTGACGATTTTCCAGGAGGTTTTTCGAGTATTTTTAAGGCGATTCTCATAGTCTTTGCTTAGGCCCTGGGTTTATCCGCAATAGCAGCCGGCGAGGTTGCCGGGTGCGTTTTAGCAGGTGGACAGGGCACCCGAATGGGCTTAGGCGTGCATGAATCCAAGGGTATGGTTAACATTGGTCTCCCAAGTGCTAAGCCTATATTCCAACTGTTTGCTGAGAGGCTGACTAGACTGAAGTAAGTGAAGTGGCGTCATATTTTGTGGAAAATGCGGTATGCGGTGAAATATATTTTTCAATAGTATTTCTTCAAATCACGAGTGAAACTTCGTTGGAATGTATTTTCTCTTTCATCGAAATTTATATAAAAATTCGAGTAGAAGTGTCCAGAAAGCAATAAGAAATTCCTCATTTCTTTGTAGTTGATCATGTTCGTATTTTCTCATATCTGTTGTTACTGTATGAGCTCTTTTTTTAGGGCTTTGTCGGGTGAAGAAAGCGCTCGCCTTCCGTTTCTAGTTATGACGTCACCGCTGAATCACAACTATGTTCAGCAGTTTTTCAAGGACCATGATTTCTTCGGTTATCCTAAGGAAGATGTTTTATTTTTCCCACAAGGTGAAATTAAGCTCATAGATTGGAGTTTTACGTGAAGTGGAGTAAAACTCGGTGAAAAACGCGTTATTCGCGGCGATATGCAGTAGTCGTGAAATATGTTTTTCGAGAAGATGGGTGAAACTCCAATGTTATGTAATGGCTGTTCAGGTACTCTACCTGCACTATCACTGGATGGCAATCTTATTCTAGAATCAAAGTCTAAGGTCAGCGTGAGCCCAGATGGAAACGGAGGCATATATTACGCGTTGGAAAAAGAAGGGGTAAAAAAAGAAAAAGTGACAGAATTTTGGTATCGCGTATATTCAGGTTCTGTCGAAGTTGGAAATGTGGGGAGTGAAATATTTGCATGTCTTTTCTGTGGATAACGCTATTGTGAAACCGGGCGATCCCTGGTTCGTCGGCTACTGCATCGAAAAAGATGCCCAAGTTGGGAACAAAGTTGTGTGGAAAAGCTCATGGGATGAGAAAATTGGAGTTATTGCTAATAAGGACGGAAAATGTTCAGTTGTGGAATATTCAGATTTGTAATATTTTGTTGGAGTGGAGTTTCACCCGTTTTACGTGAAGTGGGGTAAAAGCGATATTCGCGGTGATATGTAGTAGTCGTGAAATGCATTTTTTCATATCACTAGGGGGAAATTCTCAGTGTTTTTCTTGTCACTATATTTTATTTTAGATATAACCCTGCGGCTGGTATTGATAATCCTATGGTGAGGGCTGAAGCGCAGGATGGCAAACTTCTTTTCGGTGCCGGAAATATATGCAATCATTTTTACTCGGTTGAATTCTTGAGAGAGGCGATTTCGAAGATGAATAGTCGCTATCATTTAGCATACAAGAAAATTGCAAGTGCTGATGAAAACGGTGAGTATGTTTGGGTATAAAACTCCGGAAGTGGGACGTTTTTACCCAGGTAAAACCGTCAAGCCGACGAAGAATAACGGTGTGAAGCTTGAAGCGTTCATTTTTGATGCTTTCGAGATGGCCGATCGATCTGTTGTTTTCGAGTGCAGTCGAAGTGACGAGTTCACTCCCATCAAGAACCCTTTTGGTGCTGATCAAGATTCCCCTGATACTGCTAGGAAAGCTATATCGGCGATGTGCAAGTGAGTACAGTGTTGGAGAATATGCATAGGTGAAAATAACGAGAAAAATTT